TTAGTACTAAAGAAGCACAGTCATAGCTCAACAACACATTGACCACCACCCCAATGAGCTACAGGGTTCAGAATGGCAAGGACCCCTTAGAGATCTCTGGTGTCATCCACTACACTTTTTCCACAGTTTACAAAGGGCAGCATATCAGGGGATATGCTGCCTATCTTGGAAAACATACAGTGCCACACCCTGGCTCAATGTCAAAAGGCTGGCCAAAATGGAAGGGTTTCTTCTGGTTTGGGCCAGAAGTAGCCCAATGGAGAGAGGCCTGGAAAGGATAGTGTAAAAAATCTCCAGTCCAGAGTGTGATTTAGTAACAACGAGAAGAACAGAAAAAGTGGTCAGTCTACTCTCTGCATACCTATATAAGTAATTATGGTGGCTGACCACTGAGTATTTTTTACGTGACCTAAGGAGCAGCTCTGAAAGAGAATGACAAAATGATCAGCTGGCTCCTGGGGGGCCAGGCACACTGGCCCACAGAGCTTCCACTTCCACTGACCCTGTGGGGGGTGGTGGGGGGAAGCACAGAGAAAGGCTGCACCTCTGTAGGTGCTCTCAGAGCGAGAGCAAGGAGTGTGTTGTTATTTGAAATCTGTAGCCACAGAAACCCCAGGAGGGCGAGGGCTGAGCCCTGCTCCCTGGATTCACGCGTGACTCAGGAGTCCCTGCTCCCCCTGAACCTCCGAGGGGCTAAATGCAGGGCCCATGGACGCGAGAAGGTCCAATTCCCTCGCTGGCAAGGGAAGAAATTGATGTCCAGAAGGAGGCAAGATCTGCCCAGTGTCACCCTATCGAGGACATTTGGGTTTGGATGAGAATTTGACGCCAGTGTGAGTGATTGGTACCAGAATAGCTCTGAGGTCACATTCTGATTTCCACTCCCATTTACAGTAATATCTCCCCCCCCAACGCACACTCCAACATCACTTTCCTAGTGCTCTTCAGGTGATCGGGGGAAACAAAAGCAACACAGTGACCCGTCTCTTCTCTTACATTGTCATGAACTTCATGCCAGATATCTACTCGTGCTTTCCCGCCCATCTCCGGCTCATGCTGACCGACTTATTTCCCTAACAGAAAACAGGCGTCCACTTTGCAGAGGGGAGGTAGTTCCCCTACAGATATTACCAGAGAGGTCACTCATGCTCTTTGACAGTTTTTCAATGGCTTTTGTTTTAGCTAAGGTAAAGAACTGTACATGCGCCAGACAGGATGGTGAACAACGTGTGGCACTTTAAACTTTGTATTAGTTTTAACATCGGGGAGAAAAACAAAGCAAAGAGTAAGTGCGTTGGCCACATGCCCAGTGCGGCCAAGGGCGGCATAGCACAGGATCCTGGCTCTCGTCCCTGCTTCCCACCCACAATCGCTCAGCTCCTGAAGTTCAGTGTAGGTGGCAGCGAATTTATGGGCAGTACCTGAAGGGCCAGCTCAGAGCCGGGCAGAGACGAATGGCAGGGTTTGCTTATAAACACTGGCTATCAGCACGCTGACATTAAGCCTACTGGGAGCAAGTCGGTTTCTCTTACAGTGCTTTGAGTATCACTGGAGATTGTTATACATTTATAAGAACCTGGGGATCTAAATATTTCACATTTAGACAAGAAAATCGGACAACACATAGACAATGCAAGGATTCTTTCACTAATAGCCGTTTATGTGTAGAGGCTACTTTAATTTCTATGTCACTACCTATGTATTTTCCAAAGGGCCAAATAGCCTTGGGTAGAAAATAAAAAATTCCCAGTTAAATTTGAATTTCAGGTGAATAACAAATACTTTTTAGTATGAGTGTGTGGTAAATATTGCAGACTACAAACTTTTATTCATTATTAGTTGAAACTGAATCCATTCACCAGTTTATATTCAGATTACTTCTTGCCTTGCTTGGTTCTTTTTTTTTTTTTTTTTTTAACCTTTCAGTGGCTTAATTTTAGGAGCTGTATTAGCGGGTGGAGAGAATTATAACTCAAGAACATGGGGGTGTCCTACTTATCACTAGCTGCAGTGCAAGTTTTGGTTGGGGAGAAATGTAATACTTCGGGCTAAAAATGGTGACCATGTCCTTTCTCCCTCTTGCCATCTAGACAGAATTAGCTAGATGCTGATGTTTTCCAGAGTTTGGATTTTGCAGACCAGTAAAATACAAAAAGCAAAGCAAAAAAGAAAAACAAATCTGAAATTGTAAGATTAGTGCTCTCTTGCCAAATTTAAATTTAGCTCAAAGAAAATGTAGCTACAGTCTTTAATTACCATTAATTCATAAAAGAAAGTAACATTTCAGTGCCCCTATCTTCGAGGGACCCAGTCTTAGAGCGAGGAACAATATTGCCTAAATAAAGTAGGTGGTTTTACAGTGTGTGATCCTCATGCTTTGTGGAAGCTTCACTCTTGTTTGGTGCTGCCTCTGGAAGCTGAGAATACCCAGACCAGACAACACCTGTAAAGCAATTACGCAGGCTTGGGCCAGTAAGAGAAATATATGGAGCTCCTTTCAGTGAAGGAAAGAGAAGGATAGCAGCTAGTTTGATTCTGGTAACCTTTAGCTAATACTTCATTTACGAATTTTATTTCTGAGATGTATATGATTTAGATGGAAGTACACTGTGACATTCCGGAAACCAGGAAGGCCTCCCTCAACCCCTTCCTCAACATCCTTTGCAAGTACAAGTTCACCCCTGAACTCTTCCTCCCTTGAAGCTGGATAACATGACAGTGAACCCAAATAGCCCTCTTCCCGGGTAAGTTCAGAGGTCTTTGGAAGTACAGATAATTAAGCCTCCTGTGAGCTGGCAGAATGTGACCCCGGTGGAGAAGAGCTGGGTAGTTGCCCAAAGGAGGTGTAGTTGGGAGCAGTGCTTTGAGACCAAGTCCCCAAGTTCAGGTTTTCTATTACCCTTTCCATTTCACACGAGGGAAACCTACGGTAGGAGAATGGCGGATTGCCTGAAATTGCTGAGCAATGAATAGAAACCACGATTAAAATCAATTGCCCAACCCAAGCTTAATGGGCAGTTTCTTCTATCCTTCTCTAAGCTGAGAGACATATATAAAGTCATTTTTATCAAGGAAGCACTTCGTTCAACAGGTCTGAAATTCAATTTTATATGGTACAGAGAGATTCAAAGTATTATTTACCAGTGATTCCCAAACATCCTTTCTTTCTCCCCTTGGGTATAAAGCTAGAAACTGAGTGCCCTTTTTTCAAGAGCTCTTGGAAGCAAAGAATTGACTACTCAATGCACACATAATACTAAAGGTATATGTTTCTACATGCTTTAAAAATATTAAAAAGAATTACAACTTTTCACAAAAATAATCTCAGGACTAGGACACAGGGGTGGAGCCACTTCTACATTATGTTTGCTATAATGATGGAATTTTTAAATAATTTTAATAGTTTCTCACTCTGAGAAGAAATTAAAAAAACAAGGATACAAAACATCCATGCCCATTAAAAAGTCACCTCCTCTTGGATTTTAGGGAGGGCCATTAAATGTTACCTAACATAAATCCTCTGCCTGAATCAACCTCAGTGACCCAAGAAATTCAGCGCCACTTGGTTCCTACAGACATCTGCCTTGCAGGTGAAGCAGTGCTATCATTTTAAAAAAGAAAACCTTCAAAGACTAGCTCTTCTGAAACTCCTGAAGCCCAGGTACTTCCCCTCCCTCCAGCCCTAGGTAATAATTGGCTTTACTTTCACCTCGGTCTTTGTTGTTTGCTTTAGTAATTCTGACATGATTTTTTTTTTTCCCTTCTTCTTCTTGTAGGCTCAACTCAGTAGGGCAGAGCCTCTGGCTTTGATTCTAGACTATTTCACAGAAAGTCATTTCTTGTTCCAGGTACTTGATAAACATCTCTCTCACTAATTTCTTGCTGTTCTAGGTGATTAACATTTTGGTTAGCTAATCCAGAGCCCTTCAGATACCATTTACATCCCACACAACAAGCAAGCTAATGAAACCCGCAGAGCCTGGCCTGGCCCTCCATGTTCCTTTAATGGGTTCTGTCACCCTGGCCACGCTGCCACCACCATGACTCTGCACACCTTCTGCTGCCTCGGGGCATGCAGCAGAATGCAAATGATGGTGGCCCACAAACTGCAATTTAAGGATAGCTGTTAGGTTATGCTCACCCCATGAATTTCTCTTCCTAACCACCAAATTTGAGGATCATGTGCTATTTTTGCTTAGTTTTAGTGAAAAGAACATTAAACCTTAGGGTGACGGTAAGCATATTGCTGAATTATGTGTTTTCGTCTGACTAGAATAAATTAGACTTTTTTTGGTAGGGAGAAGGGAGAAAGAGGGGGAGCCAGGACTCCAAAGAAAATTAGATTTTAAAAGCTAGACTTTCCTATCCCTGAGTTCTAGGTATAAAAAACAACAGCAGTACTTAATAATAATTAAGTTGTAGGCTGTTATAATTTTTAATGAGGTAATTCTTGCCAGACATTTTCAAAATCCATATGCTTAGATTTTAATCGCATTTGCTTCTATTGAGTGAAAATATGTTTTCTGCCGTCAGAAAGAAACGATGAGGTTTAAGGAGAAGGCATGCTTTAAAAGGCTTCCCAAGCATTCAAGTGTTCTGAGACCACAAGCTTCTACCCAAGGTTGCTGTGTGGCCGGGCAGAAATGAATCACGGATGTAGAAACACAAACGTACTCCAAATCATCAGGGTAAATGAACTGGACAAAGGACACCGTGCATTTTGTTTTTGTTTTCAATCAAAAGCAAAAAACAAAACAAGCACCACCCTCTGATGTTAGCTGAGAAACACCCTCAGCCTGTTCATGAGTCCTCCTCAACTAGCTTGTCCACGCCAGGCTGACTGAGGAGTCTCTTGCCTCGAGGGCCTCGCCCTCTTTGGAGGTGGCACTGGCAGCAGTAATGGAGTCTGCACCGGAAGAGCCGCCATTTCCAAACACTGAAACTAGTCTGCACCGGAAGAGCTGCCATTTCCAAACACTGAAACATAGTCTGCACCGGAAGAGCCGCCATTTTCAAACACTGAAGCCTTTCTCTGTTCATCTCTCCAGTGAACACTTGAGGAAGTCCTCTCTGTGCCTATCTAGCAGCGTTCTGCCTTCTAGGAGCGTGTGGAGAGGGTAGACAAGCAGACCTGGTCCTCGCAGAGACCTTACCCTTTTGTTCTACCTCAGATTGGGGTTCTCCCCTGCAGGCTGGGAAGGGCAGGGGAGGCTTTCCTCCCTTACCACTCCTGGAAAGGCGGTGCTCATATCCTCCTGCCTTACAGGTGGTGAGATGTGGAGAAAGAAGAAAAAAGGAGGAACCATACCTTGAGGAGGGAGAAGAAGGGAAAAGAGGAAACTAGCTGCCTCCCCCAAAGTTACCAGCATCCGCTCTTCTGAGTAAACTGACGGAGAGCCCATGGAGAGGCTGGGTTAGAAGCATCCCATTGTCCCCACTGAAAGTAGGACACAGTCAAAGGTTGCTGGAGGAAAAAGAGGTGGAGGCCTGCTTCTTTTCTATTACCATACTAGTTTGATTTTTCTTTTTAAAGGATTCTGGAAAAAAAAATATTCACAGTTGAAAACTTGGAATTTAGGAAAAGGTAAAAAGAAACAAGCAGAATATTATCAAATCATATTATCATAGCCTAATGCAACCCCTGTTACCTTCTCTGGCGAGTTCATGGCAGTATTTTTTCGTATGTTTTTCTTCATTTTCATGTAACTGGGAACATTCTCTGCACAGAATTTCACATAGTGTTTTTTAGTCAGTCAGAAGTACTCTCTCGTGTTTATTAATCCTTTAAATATTTTAAGAGCACTATAACTTTCCTTCATGTAGCTATACTATATTTTTTCTTCATATAGCTGCATTATAATTTTTCTAGGAGTGGACAATTATAGTGTTTATAATTTTAGCCATTATAAACAATACTTCAATAAACATGATTTTTTTGTGCATGCATCTTGGCATTTAAAATTGTTTCCTTAGAATAATCTACTGGAAGTAGAATTATTAGATCAAAGAATACCATCAGTGTTTAGGATTTTAATATATACTGTATTACCAGGAAAGTTGTATCAATTTATCTTAACACAGTCTATGAAAGTCTTTCTGCAGTTCTAACTGCATTGATTCATGTTATTTAAAAATCACGATATTTTAACTTTGGATTCACTAGTAAGGCTGAATATTATTTACAGAATAATTATTTGCATTTTCTCTTCACTGAATTGTCAGTTCATGATCTGTGCCCATTTTTCACTGATTTATAGTAAGACCTTATATATTAAGGTTAATTTTGTGTGTGCCTTTACTACTTACAAATACATATCTTCTTATCAGTTTGCTTGTCTGGCCTCGATTATTTATTTATGGTACTGAGGACTGAACTAAGGACCTTCACACTGAGGTGCATGCCCAGCCCTTTCTTTAAAACAAAAACTTATATTTGGAGACAGGATCTTGCTAAGTTACTAAGTTGCCCAGGTTGGGCTTGAACTTGTGGTCTTCTTGCTTCAGCCTTCCAGAGTGCTGGGATTACAGGTATGTACTACCGTGTTTGGCTCTCTGATCTTTTCCCCTCAATGTTGGGTAGTGAATCCAGGGATTTTGTGTGCTAGGTAAGCACTCTACAGCTGATCTATACACAGCCCGTCCTCTGATTTTATAAGCATTTATTTATTCCATGTAGAAAACTTATATTTCACTATATCCCAATTTACTGAATTTTTAATCTGTGGTTTCTTCCATTGTTTTAAAATACAGCACAGGAAATTCGTAGCCACTAGATAAATATGCAGAAAGATATTCTTGTAGTTATTTAATTAATTTTCCAAAGATATTATAGCTTTAGTCCATAAAACAATTTATTATATGGTACAGAAAAATTTATTGTTCTCTAATAAGCTAAAAATTGCCATGGTACCATTCATAGACTACTTATTCCCCCCAACATGTATATGTATTTTGTTTATGCCTATGCACAATTCTTTTTACATATGCAAAATTTTGTTTGATACTTTCTTTCAAAATTGTATTGATCGCTTTGCTGACACTTTCAGTTCTTCAACCTTAATCTTTTTCCTTTCTTTTCCTAGAAGTTTTCTTTTTTTAAAAGCTATTCTTATACTGGTTTCTTTCAACTTTAAAAAGTGCCCAAGATGACATTCCAGAAAGCTGTCTAAATTTACTGGAGAAAGAATCTTTACCTTTAAAGTTTTAGGTCTCAAGTGAAAATGATACAGGGTTAGCCCTTGTGTCCATAAAGGGTGGGGCTCCTGCTAGGACTCAGGACATCAGAAAGGACTTTCTTGGATTCTTGATGTTTGTAGTAACGGTAATAGAAAGAAGAAGAATTAGGTATCTTTTGGTTCATCTTAAGAAAAGATTTCCAGAGAGGAGATTGAGACGTTTAATGTTAAAAGATCATCGCTGCTTGGGCTTTGAGGGCACTGGTAAAAGTATCAACCCATATATCTGTGTTCAACGGATAGAAATTGTCACAGAATAGAAAATGAGAGAAAGCCCGAATTTCAGTGGCTTTGTTAGAGTCCTACAAAGTGTGGCTGAATAATCTTGTTTTTTTTTTAAGCCTTGTTAATAGTAAAATTTTTGGGACGATGAGATTACAGATGACTGTTTTTTCCTCGTTTTTAATTGCATTTTCATTTCTTTTCTTAAATTACATAAAAGTTTTTTTCTTAATAATAGTTTGTTAATTAACTTCTGGAATACAGTATTTGAAGCTTTATTGGCAAGAGGTGCGATGTTACAGCAGAAAGTGGATTTTCAACTTCTTCACCTCTTATCTTAACAGGCAGTAACACAAAAACTCCTCTCGTTAGAAGTGACTTTGTGGAAATGAAACAGGACATTTCTAAACCAAGTGCTTCTCCGCTCAGTAAGATTTAAGCCAAAATGGGGTTGGGGACTGGAAGAAGGCATACTAAAAAAACAAACAACAAAAAAAACTACCTCTTAAAATTGTTATTTCTAAAACTAACAGTAATTCCTTTGCTGTGGCTTTTTCTCTCCCCATGACAAGTAAAGACTGATTGGAAATAATAATGACTTGTCCTTGTAAATGCCCCTTCTGTGATACAGCTGGCACCGTTTTACCGTCGTGAACATGCTCATGTTTGTCCTTAACGGTCTCTACCTTGCTCTTTTCTAGCTCTTCCTAATTGTTTAGCTTTTCACGAGGAGGTGATTCTCTCTGGCTGACCAACAGCGATGAGGGTCAGAGTCATGGGCAAGATCCTCTACCTGCTTCAGCTCAAGAAAAGCTAAACTGCGCCTCCTCCTTGAATTAAGCCACTTTAAGCATAAGGGACCGGCAGCCTCTTCCGAGGTGGCGATTTTGTCATAGTAAGCACTTGAGAATCTGCCGCCATTTTCCCACCCCTTACCCTGGCGAGCAAGTTTATCTTTGCTGTGAAATCATAAGCAGCCCTTTGTATTTCCCTTCCACGCCGCATTGCAAAGAAATAAAACCCAACTACCGTGCATGTCAATTAAACGCCTAAGCGATTAAGTAATAGTCCGTTTCCCCCTTAAATCTTTCACGCTGGTTTTCTTTTCTTACAATAACAGTTAAAATGCATCAGAGCACCCACAGCACCAGCGTCTCCTCACTTTGGGGCTCCTGTGGTTTTGGAACAAGGTCCCCAGTGGGTACCTCTGGAAGATGGGTGAATGTCCTCCTACTCAGGGGCTGTCAAGGCCAATGTACCTTTCAGGAGATTGTCCGTGAGACTCTGAACATTGGAACTGTAAAAAAGATTGAGCTGGACAGATCCTCCCCACCACTTCTTCTGCTAAATATAGAGAAGTTGTCATGGGTTGCACAGGCGATTTCCAGCCTCTGCTGGGCGGGCAGGACATGGGCACCGGGCTCCTGTCTGGGGTGGTGCAAGTGTCCCAGGCCCAGTGGACCCAGACGGAGGTTGCCAGGAGCCAGGGAGGGGAGAGCGGGGTATGAGAGTTTTGGTTTGGGTTAATAGAATTACACTTTGGATCTGCTGTAGATGGTGTCATTTGCTTACGAGCTGCTTACACATCAGTAACTCAGAGAAAAAGGCAGACAGATGGAGCCGGACAGGGCCCAGGGCTCCTCCTGAGTCATAACTTTGGGAGACAACATGCAGCTGCGAAAGTAACTCTCAGAGTGGGCCATGGCAGCCCCTGTCTGTCATTCCAGCACGAAGGAGGCTGAAGCAGGAGGATTGCAGGGACTTCCAGGCCAGCCTGGGCTACCTAGCGAGTTCAAGGCTGGCCTGAACTACACAGTGAGTTACTTAACCTCGCTGAGCCTGCAGATCCCTGTATACGAGGTGCAGGTAGAACGCTATTCCCTCACCCCAGCATTACGATCAGTATTAGGGTTAAAGCACATAGCACCCCTAAGTGCTCAGCACTCGGGGGCCCCTCGCCCTTTGCTCCTTTCAGGTGGGGAACCCAAGCCCCCTGGACTCCAAGTGCTCCTCTTGGCTGCTTCTGCTTCCAGATCCACCTGGCACCAGACAGCATTTCTCTCCTCACACTGCTACCACGCCAGCACCTGCCAGTGACACCTCACTCCCGCCCCTCCTCTGTTCTCCCATGAGAGAAGGCATTTCTAAAACACGCACATCACATCACGCCACCTCTCCCCACGCCCCAAAGCTCCCTAGTGCCTTTTTACTGAGTGCAGAATAAAGCCCTAACCCTTCACCATTGCTGTCAGAGTTGCATCTGATCTAGGCCCGGCCTACCTCTTCCTTCTCACTTACCTGCTATTGCTGCATCCTATTAATATGCTTCCCCAGGTATACTGGCCTTCTCTGGCTCCCAGAGTACAGCCCACTTTCCTTCAACCTCAGGGCCTTTGCATAGCGCTTGGCACTACCCACAAAATTAACTTCAGTATTACCTATCTGTTTATTTGCTGTTCCCCCTTGGGAATGTAAGCCATAGGAAAGAAGTCAACTTTTTTTTTCCCATCCTAGAATAAGCTTGGAACCATGCTGGTTGCAGAGTTGGCACTTGGAAAGTATTTAGTGAATACATTCTGAATAAGTACGTAGAATGCGGCAATAATATCATCCTAGAAGTTGGTGACTAGATTTGAAAATCTATGTTGTTTCTATGTTTAAAGATTTTGTGATTCCTTTTTTTTTTAAAGTCTGTGATTTCTTGAACAGTAATATTGAATCCCAGAATAATTTTAAAGAAATGCAGTTGGAAATTTTTCAGATACCCCACATGTGATCATCTGGATTAAGTATGCCAAGTCAAAATGATTCAAGTATCAGCTCTAATAAAAAGATAAGAAGACTTAAATTTTTGTAGGCATCCTTTGTTTTTTTTCTTTCTGTTTGGTTTATTGAGACAGGGTCAAACTATGTGACCCAGGCTGGCCTGGAACTCACAGCAGTTCTCCTGCCTCAGCCTCCCCAGTGCTGGGATGACAGGTGTGCACCACCATGCCCAGCTTAGGCCTCCTTCGAAACCACTTTAAATTTTTGTTTAGGTAGCAGTTACATGGTTGGAGCAACCCTGTTCACAGTTTGCTTAGCACGCCTTTCTTCAGAGACTCAGATAAGGACACATCCGCTCAGGTGAGACCCAGCAGCTCACACCCCAGGGAAGGAAGCAGGGACTGTACAAGAGGAAAAGAAGAGAAGGCAGCTCTTTCTCAGGGAGGAGACCAGGAAGAACAGCTAATTGACAAATGTGTGTTCCTCTTTTGAGCAAATCTTCCTGGCTCTACCTGCAGGAAATGTCCCGTATTTATCCACTCATGAAAAGGCAGACTCTGGGTTGGTGCGCAGGACAGATCCAGAACCAACTTATACAAACTACGGAAGGGCAGCTTTTGGCTCTGTGGACGGGGCCGGGAAGGGGCTCTCTACTGAGTTTAAGACAGGCATGGACTACGCACCTGAAACATCTCCCCGCAAAAAAGTTTCCCTAGAATCTCAGACCCTTGGCTTTGTATTCTGACCTACAGCAAGTTACGAGCGCTTTCCTACCAGAAGAGATTTCTTACCGGACGGTGACACAGGCCCTCAAGGAAGCCCACGTTTAGGGACAGAAGATGAGCCTGCAGAGCTGACAGGTGTCTTCGAAGTCCTGCAGCCTGCAGCTGTGCTACCTGCTGCCTGTCTCTTCCAGGAGCCCGGCCGGGATCCTGGGCCGAGGTGGACCCTCTTCGGCCTGACCCTCTGTCTACCCCTTTCCCCTCCTCTGCTTTTCATTAGAATTCCTCGGGGCCCCTGAATGCTTTGCAGAAAAATGAGCCCGTTTTATTTTTGGAACCCAGAGAGGGAGCCTTGAGGGGGTTATTGTGTTGCTTTTAGCAGCTAAACAAAAAGGTGTGAAATCATTTGCTGGCTGCTCTAGAATGAGAAAGAAATAAATAAAAATACAGAAGGAAGGTTCAGGACAGTGTGTGGCAACTTGGACTTCGCCTGGTGACAGGGGCTTCTGGGAGGCTTATTAGTAACCCAAGCAGCTCCTGGAACGTCTGCAGTTTTCTCACCTTCCCCGGAAGTTACTAGAATAGTGCAGAAGCCACTGGGATTTATTTTTAATGATTCATTTTGCAATACTATTTCCATGTTACTTAAAAAAAAAAAAAAGCTTGGGGAAGAGACTAGGACTAGTTTGAGAAAATGCTTTCAAGCTTTTAGGAACACCCAGGCATGATGGTACATGCTTGTAATCCTAGCACTCTGGAAGGCTGAGGCAGGAGGGTCCACACGTTCCAGCCCAGCGTGGGCAATTTGGCAACCTCGAGAGACCCTGTCTCAACCTTAAAAAAAGGGAGGGGCTGGAGATATAGCTCAGGGCAGGGGCCCTAGATTCAGCCCTCTGTCCTGAAAACAAAGATACTAAAGTCCTTAGTAACATGTGTGGGGAGTACAGGAAAGAACTGGGATCGCTTCTGTGCACAGGCGAGTCTTGAACTCAGGCCTCCCCGGACCTTAGGGAAGATTTGAGCAAGAGGACCTCTTGTGACACTTGAGGTTTTCACCTCCCCCTGGTGACCTTCACTGGAGGCCACCTCATATTTAGGGGACGGAGGACCACAGACACTTCTTAGAAGAACATCATATTTTGAAATGTTTCTTTATTAGCAGGGCAATTTTACTTGCAATTGGCATCTTTGATGTGGTTGGGTTTTTCTTTTATAATTATGGACTTTTCAAAAAACTGCCCAAGAACATGCTTATTCACCAGATTTCATCACTGTTTACATTTTGGCCAGTCTACGTGGTCGGGCCCCTCCCACCCCCTTGCTTCTGCCTTCCTCATGCTGAGGAGGACAGCGGGCCTGGCACTGGGTGTGTGACATGCCGTCCCGGCCCTGATGCCAGCTTCATCGCTCAGCACCCTGGCTTGGTCAGCACGCGTGCTGGAGTGTTTGGCAGCCTGGCTTTAGAACTTCGGGGCTGCCTTACTACTGGGGTTGAGTCTCTTTTTATTCAGCACTCAAGGCTGAAAGTGCAGAATACTGAAATGGCAGGATGGGCCAGACCTTCTCCACGCTATAGTCACTGGGATTGAGTAATTTACCCACAGGACGCATAACACTGATCTCCCCCACGGCCAGGGGTTATGCTCCCTGCCAAGAGGTGGTGAGTCTCAGACTGGCAAATGGCAATGCAAACCAGCAGAATGGCAAGTTCCTCTTAGGGAAGAAACTGCCTGAGGAGGAGAATCCTATGCCAAGCGGCAACTTGGATGAGACAGGGAGTAGGAACCAAGAGACAAGGGAGCCAGGCACTCTCAGGGAAGAGAGGAGAAAGGAAAAGAGTGGGGAAGAAAAATAGGAACCACAGCGTGGGCAGGAAAGGAGAGAGAAGCGGGTGGGGAAAGGACCGAGGACGAAGACAGATGCACGTGGGACAGGATGGCTGTGGGTTCAGCCACCGGACAAGGCCCCATGCTGTTCTCCCAGCTTGGACGATGCTCCTGGAATACATTCAAAACAACATGTACAGCGGATTGTGTAAGACACGTATACACGTACATGTGCACATCACACACACATAGCAGCTGATAACCTGAAACAAGCTAGTGCAGAATAGCAGTTCAGTGTCAGCAGAGACTGAAAACTCAGCCCTTGGGTGCCTGCCCTTATGCTCCCAGAACTAGAGATCCTCTGAAATCCCATTAGATTCGTGAGAGTCCAGGTGGCTTGGGAAAGCACATGAAGGGACATCTTGTAGGACAGACAGGGCTGACTTCACTCCAGAAAGTGGAGCTTGGTTCGCAGTTTTACACTGTAGGCTTTAGAGGGCATCATGGGACTATGGGGGTGGATCCTGAAATCGTTATCTATCAGACTTCTATTACAGCTGGCCCAGTGCTCCTTCCCTTTCTTTCTAGCTAGTGAATTCCTACCCATCTTTTATGATTCCATTTAAATGTCACCTTTTCCATGGGCTTTCCCTGCCCCTCAAAGGGCAATTTTCCTCTTCTGTGCTTCTCCTCTGTGTGGACTTCTGTATTACAGCTCACCTCA